TCCCCGTCCTGTCAACTGACAGAACGTCAGAGCCGGGGGGTGTCGGAGGGCAACGGAAGTCGATCCTTCAACCAAGGTTGCTGTGACCTCTTTTCCCCATTCTTGCAAGGTCTGTACAACCACCTGATCGAGTGCTTGCCCTTAAAATAAAATTTCATCTATTATTTCGAAGTTTCATGGTTCAGGAAAGGTATGTGCTGATGCCTAACAGTTTGAGGAGACAAGCCCAAACCACGGTGAGCCCGACCCAGTCGTCATGCTGTGAGGAACCACAGAACATCCAAACAATTATTTTTAACTTAAAATCCTTCTATAGAGGAATCTTTGTCGTTATTGACATAGTTATGCTAGTTATAAAACAACATCATACATAAATATATCTCTTTTTATTTTATTTTTTTTTGAGAACAGAGCTCGCTTTGTTGCCCAGGCTAGAGGTGAGTGCTGGGCGTCAGCCTAGCTCACAGCACCTAAATCCTGGGCTCAAGTGATCCTTTTCATGGCCTTTCAGGCCTCCCGGGTAGCTGGGCACTACAGGCAATGGCGCACCATGCCCGGCTATGTTTTTTTTTTTATATATATCAGTTTGGCCATTAATTTCCATTATAGTAGGAGTGTCTCGCTTCTTGTCAGGTGAACTCGCTGGACTTGAGGCAATCGCCCGCCTTCGGCCCTCCAAAAAGCTAGGATTTACAGGCGTGAGCCCCAGCGCCCCGGCTTTCTTTATTTTTATAAGATGGTCTTTCACTATGTTGGCCCAGGCGGTCTCGAATCCTGCCTACAAAATGTGAAATCCTTCATCTCCCTGTGATTCAAAGTGTGGCCACCCCAACCACGCCAGCAACAATGTATATTTCTAATCGACTGAAATTACACGTGACAATGAATTAATCCGATGCGCGTGCCAGCCAAACCACCTCCTTCAGGTGCACATCTGCAGCTCCCATCCCGAGCAGGCTTCATGGGCGTGATGACAGAGTTGTCTCAACATGGTCCACAGCGCATGCATACACGATATGTTTTAAATGGTCCCCAGCCGTGCATGGACACATATGTGCTTAAACATGGGTCCACGGTGTGGAATGAACAGAGGTATGTCTTAACATGGTCCACAAACACGTGCATGAGTGGACAGAGTATCTTCTAACATGGTCCACAGGGTGCATGACAGGTATGTCTTAAACATCGGGGTCACAACACGTGCATGACAGAGTTATGTCTTTCATGGTCCAAGCACATGCATGGACACGTATGTCCTTAACATGGGTCCACAGCGTGTGCAAAACAGTTGTTCTAACCATGGGTCCACAGCGCATGCAGACACAGGTATGTCTACTAAACATTGGGTTCCACAGCGCGGTGCATGACACACAGTATGTCTCTAAACATGGTCCACAGCGGTGCATGACACAGTTTCTCTACATGGGGCCACAAGGCATGCATGGAAGTATGTCTCTAACATGGTCCCACGGCGTGCGATGACCAGAGTAGTCCAACATGGGGCCACAGCGCTGCATGACGGAAGTATGTCTCTAAACATGGGTCCACAGACGTGCATTGACACAGATGTTCTTCTAAACCAAATGTCCCAGCACATGCATTGACAAAGGTATGTCTTCTACATGGGTCCACAGCGCGTGGCATGAAAGGTAGTCTCTAACTGGGTCCCAACAGCGTGTGCATGACAAGAGTTAAGTTCTCTAAACAATGGGCCACGCACATGTGACAGAGTAGTTTCTCTAACATGGTCACAGCACGTGCTGAACCACAGTATGTCTTTAACATGGGGTCACAAAGCATGCATGACAGAGTAGTCTTACATGGTCCACAGCACGTGCAATGACCAAAGTATGTCCTAACATGGGTCCAACAGCCGTGCAGACACGTAGTCTTCTAAAATGGTCTAGCATGCATGACACAGTAATGTCTTCTAACATGGGTACACCGCAACAGGCATGAACATGTATGTCTTCTAACATGAGTCCACAGGGCGTGCATACAGTATGTTCTTACATGGGCACAAGGCACATGCATGACACTAGTATGTCTCTACATGGTCCAACAGCACGTGGCATGAACACGGTATGTCTCTAATGGTCTAACATGCATGACACAGTATGCTTTCTACATGGGTCAAACAGCAATTGATGACAGAGGTATGTCTCTAACATGATCCACAGCGCGTGCATTGAACACATATGCTCTAAACATGGGGCCAACAGCACATGCATTTGAACAGAGTATGTCTCTAAACATGGGTCCCACAGCGCATGCATGACCGAGTTGTTTCTAACAATGGGTTCCATAGCACATGCATGACGAGTATTGTCTTCATGGGTTCAACAGCGCGGGGCTGGAACTTGTTATGTCTCTAAACATAAACCTCCTAGATAAAGGAACGTCTGTCATCCCCCCCCCCCCCCCCCCCCCCCCCCTCTCTTACACACAGGAAACGCCACACCAGATAGCACCTTTAACATTAGGCTTGGTGAAAAAGTAATTGTCGGTTTAATGCATTGTTGAATTTGCAGTTGATACTGGAATACATTCTTAAATAAAATGTGGTTTATTTATACATCTTTTAATGCGCATTTCTCGCTTTTATTTTTTTTGCTAATTATCACTTGCTGTTTATTTTATATTCATTTAGACTACAGGAAAATGATGTTAGGACAAAAAGCAAAATCCAGCAATTCTTTTCGAGTTTCAAAAAATGGGTCATAAAGCAGAAGAGACGGACTTGAAACCAAACAATGCATTGGCCCAGGAACTGCTGAGGAACGACAGGTGCAGGGATGGTTTCAAGAAGTTATTGAAATGGAGAAAAGAGCCTTGAAATGAGCGCAGTTGGCCGGACCATCGGAAGCTGACACGACCAATGAGAGCATTCATCGAAGCGATCCTCCTTACAACTACAAGGGAGAAGTTGACGAAGAAACTCAACATCCCAATCTATGGTCGTTCAGCATTTGGAAGGATTGGAAGGGCGAAAAAGCTCGATAAGTGGTACCTTGTAAGCTGACCGAAATCAAAAAATATCGTCATTTTGAAGTTGTAATCTTCTCTTATTGTAACAACGAACCGTATCTCCATGGAATTGTCACATATGATGAAAGTGCGATTTTGTAGGACACCAGTGAGCCCAGCTCGGTGGTGCGATGGAGAAGAAGGCTCCAAAGCTTTCCCACAAGCACAACCTGCACCCAGAAAAGGCCATGGTCACTGATGGTGGGCTTGCCAAGTCTGACCACTACAGTCTTCTGAATCCCGGCGACATTACGTCTGAGAAGCGGTGCTCAGCGAATGGGATGAGATGCACCGAAAAAACTGCAAAACGCCTGCAAGGCCGGGCCACTGGTACAGAAAGGCCATTCTTGCTCCCATGACACGCCCCGACACACATGCACAACCACGCTTCAAATCGAACAATTGGGCTGCGAGTTTGCTCATCCATCATTGTTCACCTGACTCTCGCCAACCACTTACCACTTCTCTGAGCCATCTTGTCATCTTTTGCAGGGCAACACGCTTCCACAACCATGCAGGAGATTCAGAAAATGCTTTCCATGAGTTCCGTTTGAATCACAAGCACAGTTTTTAACCTACAGGAATAAACAGAACTTATTTCTATTGGCAACAATGTGTTGATTGTATGGTTCTTTTTTGATTAATAAAATGTGTGTTGACCTAAAGTTGATGTGATTTAAAATTCCAGTCCAAAACCATAATTACTTTTGCACCAACCTTAATTTACACGTTCAACCTGCACTAAGATACAAAACTTAGAGCTGTCTATTCATCTCGCTGGTTGTTACTGAAATTACCCAGGATGGGAGTATGTGTTTTGGTAACCTCAGACAACTTTTTTCATTTGGCCACAGTCCCTGGCGATTGAATCACGCTCTTGGCTGTGTGGCCCACTTATCATAAGTATATATATAGATATCGTTTCCTGGCTGGGTCTCATACATCACCTTGGGACCT